TGTGACACATGGAAATAAATACGGTTGCATGACCTACTGAGTTAAGCATCCTTTTCTGGACAAGGTAGGCCGCGATCATTGGTTGGCAATCTGTGTGTGTGGTAGATACCCTCGGGTTAAGCAGAGCTGAATGCTACCAGTGGCGTCCCCGGGTTGTGGATACCTTCACCGAAGAAGGTCAACTGTGAATAAGTTGTGGCATACCGCAACAAATAAGCACTGTCACAACCAGAAGGTGTGCGTGTGGTTTGTACGCCTGTTTTTGGTTGGTTTGGATTCAGGGTTTTTGGCCAACTCCCCTAGGTGAACTGCCAGCGGTCCATCTGAAGGATTATGGTCCCGGAAGTTGGCCTTTCGTGCTCTCATTTTGGTGGGAAAATAGCTCTATCACGGGAAGGCAGTGAGTAGGGATTCCTCAACAGAGGCTATTCGAGACGCTTAGTCGTATGGGAGCATTTCGCGAGTTGTAAGGGAACCGTGACCAGCCACACCCCAAGACGCCCGACCCGACCATACACTGAGCCTTTCGGCGGCACTCAAATAAATGAGATTTTTTAACACCTTTCACTTCAGTCATTGGTTGTCTATATCCGTGGTACAATCACTATCCCCTCATAGAGATTATTAAACATAGCGAAATCCTAAATGGCGTATGTGATTTAAAGATCTTAACTGTCAACGTGCAGTTGCTATTCTATCTGATGGGTTCCGTTCTGCCACCAAATATGATCGAAACCGGAACTTCGCGAGTCCAGGCATCGTCCATCCATCAAACGGGATTAGTCCAGTCACCTCCCAGAACCGGATGAATGTTGTAGTCCTACTTGATGAATAGCGGATGAGTGTCGCGTCACCTGAGTATGATCAGAAGTGGAATATTTCGCCAACTGACTAATGTTCCCCATTAGCAAATTAGCTCAGTAATAATAGGGTTCAATGCTCGAACCTTATAGTAACGGTTAAATTTTGGACACCCTTACCCCCGATTACGGCGCGTATATAGAAAAATAAATCCGCTGCTACTGCTCATCTGTACGAGTCCACCGAAACCTGATTCGACTGATTAATCACGACAATCCAGTACGGTTCGACTGCACCAAAAGATCCAGCCATGTTGTCACGAGATTTTTTGAACGTGTGTTTTCGATTCTCATCTCTGCATCACGTGCAAACTTTGGCATTGTTTATCATGTATGCATGATTCCATTGCTGTTTTTCGCTTTGGCCAACGGATAATCACGACGACTCTGAGGGCTTGCTTCCGTTCTCCTGCCTTCCCGCTTCACTTGTGTGTGATTGTTTCTTTCTTTCTGTCTTGTTTTTCCCTCTCTTACACACAGGTTATCTTTGGCGCGTACACCTGTTCTCTCTCTATTTCCTGATCCCGTTCGTCGCGGTCTGTTGGGTGTTGTATCAGAAAAACAAGTGAGCTCAATACACTGTGATTGTTTGAGCACCACATTTCACCTCGTTTCTTGGTTCCTTTCGTACATTTGTTTACGTCAATCTACACTGGACAATTCAAGCATTTTCCTCTTCCGTTTATTACTGTGATATCCCTTTTTTGGGGGTCAATATTCCGGAAAACGAGCGGAGCAAAATGCAATCAGTACTTACCCATATCCATTACACGTTGTGTGTATTTTTGCCCAAACTGAATTGGACCTCAGGAATTGTGACTGGCTTTCTGGCTTCATTCAATTCTCATTGGCATCCATTCCGTTTTCGGTTCGTACAACCATTAACCAGGCCGGTTTTTGGTTGCACGCTTTGGTCTAGCCATTTGGACGAACAGTAGGAGATTGACAGGAAGGTTGGAAGTAGAATTGATAATTTCATTGAAATAATGTTTGCCAAGAAATTGAGATGCACAAGCGTCACTGTTTACGTCACAGCCCTATCACTAAGTGTCTCTAACTATCGGTGACGATCATCGCGAGATCCCCATCCAGGGAGCCTAACGGGACCTATGTGACCCAAACTACTGGTTAGAGTTTTCATACTCCCGTACCAGGCAGGTCTTAGCTTGACCACCCTTGGCTGTTTTCCACCCACTACTTGCCTCGGCAAACATCGCTCGCCGCGGCAATCTATCTGGTGACATGCGTAACACATGTCCCAATCAACGTTACCTATGAAGGTCAACCACTTGCTCCAATGGACGACGGCAACTGCCTAAAACTCTACGTCTAACCTCAGCATTGCTCGTCCGGATTAGTGCAATGCTGCGTAGAAAGCAGTGTTCAACACCGAAAGTCTGCCTTTATCCTGCTCGCCTAATAGCCAAGTCTCTGCACCGTAAAGCGGCACTGGCCCAACCACTGCGGTATGCACTCGACTCTTCACGGACAGCCGAATGTTGCGGCCGCGCCACAGATGTCTCAAGATGGCAAATACCAACCAAGCCTTCTGTATTCGAGCTGACACTTCAACCGTGATGCGTCCACCGGGTGAGGTGTAGCTGCCCAAAGAACAAAACTTTTTCTATTACTTCGTCAGTTTGGGAGCTGGAGAAACCCAGTCCTGTATTAACATTTTGCACGCTAAAGGTGGAAAACGTCAACCGAACAGGGCTACACTAGCATTCAAACTATCCAGAAAAGTGTATAACTTTTCTATGAAAGTGTGAATAACAGCAGATAGGATAAACCCCGTAGTCACGAGGACCTGCAGTCAAATCTCGGAAACCGGCAACCTGCTTTCCGTTTTCAACTCGGGCGAAAAATATCGTAAACTCGGACTCGATTTCGGCCATTAGTAGAAAGGGGTCGTAATATTGAAATAAACTTCTCGGGCACACCATTTAGAGCGAGACACCACCAGAGTTTAGAGCGGTCGACTGAGTCGAAAGCCGCTTTCAGATCCGGGAAGATAGAGATGGTGGGTGTCTGTGTTCTAGGATTTGATGGAGAGTGAAGATGTGATGGATACATCCTCGACCAGGTCTAAATCTACCTGGTACTGACGTGCACCGTTCATGTGCGGCAGACAATCTACGGAGTATGATACCAGCGAGAAGTTTAGAGATGATGTTGATCAAGCTAATTCCACTGTGGTTTTCACAGGAGCATCTTTCGCCTTTCTTGTAAATCGGTATAATCACCGATTCACATCATTCGGATGCAACCTCTTCCCTTCCCCATATTGAGCCCAGGAGTTTCGTTAACTGCAAGACTAACGCTGAGTTTCCATCCTCAAGCGCTAATGGGAACAGCGTATCTGAGCCATAGGCCCTATGCCTTTTGAGATAACTTATTTCCCGGGAAGCCTCCACTTCGGATGTAGGACTGAAATCAACTAACAGTAGTTGCCCTGTTGAAGAGGTATAGTGTCGATGGGGGTCAAATGAAGTGCGCCTTAAAGTGTTCTCCTCGTTGCTCAAGGTGGCATCCTGAATATGAATCAGTGGACCGTCAAACTCTTCGATTACCTCCGGCTTACGTTCCTTGACTCCGTACTGCTATGTGAACCGAAAAGATTGCGACTGTTGCCAATAATTGCAATCTTCTCCATTTCTTCACAGTTCCCTATCCACCGCTTCTCTCGGTCATTCCTCAGGCTCTCGATGATCAGATACTGGGCACCGCTGACCGGTAGAACGTTGTCTTTCTCTGGAGGACCGTGTGCGATATAAACCGAAGTCTGATAGCCTGTCATATCCAGCTTCGCATTTGTTATACTTCATCATACTTCCCCTGGTGTGGTGTGCATGTATGAAACCGCATAAATTTTGTTGGGGAACAACAACTCATTCTTCGCGACCTTAACCTATTGTTAGAACATTTGATCGGGGATCTTTGTGTGGAGAGATAAAGAAATTTAAAGCCGATTGGAATTGCGTTTGATTTCCCGTGATCTTCCGTTCCCTGAAACTCACTGTTTGAACCACTACAATGCAATGCGACACGTCACTTTCTCTAACGAATTCGGAGATAAGTAACACATTGTCACATCACCCACTGCAATACTCACCTGTTGCTGACCAGGTAAGCAATAAATGTTATGCCAAAACTGTATGCGTATCGTGATGTGCCTCTCGAAGATTGTCAGATCCAATCAATACGCTGAACCCTATGATGAAGATGTAGGAATCATTAATTTTCTCTGGCGAGCAGTATTTTAAGTTAATATCACATCGGATCTTGGTTTGAGAGTTCAAATCCCGCAAACACGCTTAAGAATAAAAACGAATGGTTTCAGTTTTTATTTTTATTTATCGATCAAATCATTGTGTACCGGTTTATCAGTGTCCCCGGTACCCCATAACAGCCATATTCTCAAAGGCATAAGTCCATATCTTCGTTTCTAACTGCTGCAGATTATATAAAATACGGCAATTTACTAGTCTCCATTATGGATTGATTGGCAGCTTGAGCCAGTAGCAATTAAACTGGACTTTTAATTTTTAATATAATTATGTTGATGTCTCGGAGATCTTAATGCCCCGTGAAAGACCATTTTGAGGAAAGAAGCGGCTCTCAAATTTAGGTCCTGCATTTTCTTGAAAATTATCCGTACACTGTTCCATTCAGTAGCAAATGTAACAACATCTTTATGGCCATATTGAAAACAATGTTGAAGAGCAGGAATTTTTTGAACTACATCTATTGGGATGACTGTTCCTAATCGCAGTCCATGTGAACTTCTGCTGTTGCAATCTAATCGTGTTCCTCCCATAGAGGAGGACCCTACACATTCGGAAGAGAATAAAGAGCTGCATCGGACTAGGAAATAAACACCCCACATAGAGTATACACTACAAACGGGAATGAGCGAATTGATAATGGCTTCAGGGCATGAATTCGCTCTACTGTGAGACCGATTGATCACCGTACCTTTTGTATGAGTTTGTCGATCGTCTATGTGTACCGGTAAAATAGACTAAAAATAGACTAGTCCGATTTGAGCAGTCGCGTTCTTTTCCGCGACAGATGGATTTAGTGTTTCTCCCACTCCCGACGATCCGGTATCCACGATACGCGATGTAACAGCTGTTAGAAATGGTGGACTACTTATTGTTAATCGTTGCATTATTTACCTTTCCTTACTACTTCGTCCTCTCACCCACCGCCTTTGCATTGATTATATTTGTTTTTTTAGGTATCCAGCCTCAATTTTTGTCGGCGATACCTTCTGCTACTTCGCCGGTATGACATTGGCTGTGGTGGGCATTCTGGGTCATTTCAGTAAAACGTTGATGCTTTTCTTCTTACCGCAAATTGTGAACTTCGTCTACAGTCTACCTCAGCTGTATGCACTTGTTCCATGCCCAAGACATCGGCTTCCTCGGTAAGTTTTTACATCCTCTGTCTGTCCCCTCCTCTGCAACATCCCCTCGTCATCTGTCCCCGTAGTCTACCTGCACGTTTTCCCCTCCCAAATGACGACTCTCGTTTACACTCCAGGTTGGGTTCTACCAAATTTCCGTCCCCTTCCGCCCCCTAGCACAGATCAGCGGCGTTGCAATTAATCATAAACGACTGAGTCCAGAGATCCAGGAAAAAGATGACTCTTTCGAGGTCTTGCAAATTGTATGCCTTCGGTGGAACATGTATCACTATCATTGATCAGTTCTCCGAACTTACGTTGCTTCCCATGATAAGAAACAACTCAAAGCGGATGGCTTTGAAGAGAACGGCTCCTCAAAATAAGATACTAAGCCACACATTGGTATCATCTTTTCCCCGTTCAAACCAGGCCCCAGCACATTTTTTCTTTTCAAACTGCTTTTAACAACGCCCCCATCCCGGAAATAAGCACTGGCAGATTCAGTCACGTGGCGGAAGCAAACTGACGATCCTGATAAGAGCGCAACGAGGTCAACATAATTTGACCGTGAAACAATTGCAGCCAGATTTGTTTTGAAACCTGATGAAACGATAGGATATGATACCGAAACGCAAATCTCCTCACTTCTGTCCACTCGCGGATGAAACCACTGCAGTAGAGGCTTAAGTGATATTCGCCGATCGTTTCAATGCCTAAGGTCGAATTTTTCGGTTGGACTAAATAGTTTTCGGGCCTTGATTATATCACCACACACCTAACAAAAGTTAACTTGCAGTTTTTTTACTCAAAGTGATTTACAGCGAAAGGGTTTAACCCCATAGTCAATAACGTACTGTAAGGGGGGGCGGGTATGTGACTTCACTGGCTAGGGCAGCTATTACGTATGCCCAGCCATCGTCTGCCACACCGCCCTTCATTCGCTGTAGCCGCCCCGGGCTGGAGGACACCACGTGGAGGTCAACAGATGACGTGGAGACGGGGCATCAAGAAATGTAGCGTAGGTGTTTCTCGCCTTCCAGGTTGGGATCCGAAAGACTCCACAACCGGTTAGTTGGAGACATTGAAGGATATGGCAGTGACGTTCTTGTTGTCATTTCTTAGCAAGCCAGAACGCTTGAAACGGTATGTATGCAGAGTTCAATTGTGCACTCTCTGTGTTGGCCACAGTGGTTCATCTTCTTTTTCCTCCCTCGAAGTAGGTCCAATCCCTGTCCACCTTAAATTTTACCACTGATTTTGTATGAATTGCGAGTTTATCAGCGATTAGTGAAGTTCGCTTCATTGTATTTCGCTGCATGATGATGATGATGATGATGATGAAGGTATGTGAAAAAACATTCCAATGAACGTCAGTCTATTAATTCCACTTTTGAAAAGAATAAGTAGTTTGCACTTAGGAGTCCTAGTTGTGTATGGGAGTGGGGGCGGGGAAGACCGAAAGATAAAAGTTCGATATCTAGGGACAGAAACCGGATGGCGGTGACTGCCTGCCTGAGAATGAGATCAAGGGGAGGGGAACTGCTGACGCGATTTCGGAAGAGCAGAAACGATAAAAAAGTAAATAACGAAGCAACTGTGCGGTGATCGGAAAGGGACCGCTGGTTGGAAGTTATAGACAGTTCGTTGATAAGTGAGATGGCCTTACGTTGAACGTGTTCGAGATGAGAAAGGGCGAAGAAGAGAGGCTCCACCTCATGCATGACTGTAGTATTCGAGTATCGGGTGGATTCGAACTTTGTATAAAAGATGTTTGGGTGTAAAGAAGCCCTTCGTTCGGAATAGAAAACCGACTTTACTTGCGGTGCGAGAATTGAGTGCGAAAGTAAAATGAGACCAACAGAGAGAAGAATTTATGGATAAACGCAGGAGTGAGATGGGATTTGTTGAACGGAGGTTATCGAGTCAAAAATCAATTGAGCAGAATAAGGGACTCGTTTAAGAGAGACGGAGAAGAGAGAAGTTTTTGAAGTATTGGTTGGTTGAACTCCATGCAGAGAAATCAGAGAGAAGAGGAGCACTAATAATGATCGATATTGGTAGTGGCCTGATGGGTTGTGGGGTTGCGAATGAGAACAACGGAGAGTGGCATCATCAGAAAAGCAGTAAATGGGATTAGATGTTTTGAGTACAAGATCGTTGATGAGTAGAAACAAGAGAGTGGGCGAAAGTACGGAACCTCGAAGAACATCGGCGTTCACGAGAAAGTGCCGAATTCCCCTTTGTCCTTGGTCCAAATAGCGAATAGAATAAATCAGCCGAGCCCCGAATGCAGATGTAGCACAGGCGAATCGGCCAGCGAATTAAAGATTTGCTATCGATTGATCAGACGCAACTGGTAAGCATTTGGAATTGGAACCCTCTTCCCTTTTGTGTATCTACAATGACGAATAAGATTCACAACTTTTCTCGTCGCAATTGTCTCCTAATTATTCAGTCGATTACGAAAATGGAACTGTTGAATTCTTCCCGGGAAAAGCTATACGGCTTCCTAAGAAGAGAAGAAGTTTGGTCTTCGAACGATCCGAAAATGGAGTCAATTGGTTGAAAAACGGATTGGTAAAAAACAACATTTAGAACAATCATCATTTATTTCTGGACTGGAATACTTCTGTCACTGAATTGCTGACAACGGTCGGAAGACCATTGTGGTACACAAGGTATTTACCCTTGCCGTAGTATCATATTTCGCTGTACTTCTATAAGAATTCAAAGTGTATCATTACTGGGTTGATGGAGTTTTTCAGTGGTATAGCCTATCTTTAAAACGATCCATAACACTATTCACGGGCGAATATACTGAATTGGTTAAACGTGCACTCGCATTCAAACAGTTTACTGATGGCGTCAACTTTTCGTAATACCAGCTGTCCAACACAATTGGCATGAATATAGTTATAGTAGTGTTTATGTGCCCGTGGTGTAAAACGATCTCTAATCAGACGGGTGTTTCGTCAGTCTGCATACACTTAGTTCACTGATTATAAAAATGCCCGTGCTTCCTGTATTTGTGGATGGAAAAAGCTGCACCCGAAATCGAGAGAGAGAGAGACGATCGAACGCATTTCAGGTATTTATATTCTGAAACCCAGAAGAAAACCAGCCTCACAGACGCACAGTCAAAATAAAGGTTTCGGGAGGTGATCCACGAGATCTGCTCGTTTGGGAGTCAGCCAGGGTTAGTCGCGCCAGATGACGATCCCCACAAGGATGAGGACTTCATATCTGCGGACTTGATATAGCAATAAACAAGCCTTTTAAGGACCATTTATGCACAAAAGTCTATGGATAATTTACAAATGGAATAGAGAAAATTCTGCTTGGAAACTTTGTGAAACCTCGTCCCGAGCAGATTTTTGATTTGATTGACAGACTTGAGAGATAAAATCACAATGATCTGTGTTGCCAATGCACTCCGCGTAAGCTACAGGTCTCATGAATGTTTATTGAAGAAAATCGTCATTTGGACACAATCTACCGAGGTTTGGAGATTCTAAACAATAGCCAAAAACAAACAAACTTTGACCTTGGAATTTCGTGTATGAATCACTGTGGATTTTTCAAACTCAAAAAGAAATAATACATCCCTAAAAAAAGATTTTCAGGGCTTTCTGAACAAACCAAAAAAAATTATACGACCCGGTCTAGTTTTCAAGGGAACGCCATACTTATTCCACGCAGATGTGTAACTGGTTTCCTCTGCGGACTCAGTTGATCTGATTGATAGCACCATATATAGAGCAGCTGTTCACGAAACACGATCGGAGGGGAACTAAACAGATTTGGTTTGTGCATTTCCCAGCCTTGTACTCTATCATTGAGTTTGTTCGACTCAGAAACGCGGGACCGCAATTGTGAAATGTGGACTCGCTCTTTCGCAATCTAGCAGTCGCGCAGGGAAATCCACCACCCGCACACCCCAGATCCCTAACAGTACCGGGTGCCTGTGAGAAACCGAATGTGCTAATCAAAACATTCACCGTCTCACGCAACCTATATTTTTACACATTCCATTCACTAGCTTATTAGAGCCAATCATTAAGGAGTCCGTTTGTGTGTGTGTGGGAGGGAGGGACGGAACAGAGACGACAGAAGTTCATCATCATCATCATCGTACATCGCAATACAGGGAGGCGAATTTCACTGATCACTGCCAAACTCGCAATGCGTATGCACTGGGTTTTGATAGACGAGTACTGCTAGGCTGTCCAGCTAAAGATTCAAAGATTTATTATGGGAATAACTTTCAAGCTCATGCTTTTCTGGTCCCACAGGTTCGTGCGGTGGATTAAGAAACAGTGATACATACAATTCTTTTTGTAAACTGTCACGTGATACGTGCGTTTTCCACTGCTACTAAGCAGAAAAACGATTAGGGTTTCCTAACCAAAACCTTTAGTTCTGACAAGAACCTAGCCGCAAGGCAGCGAGACAAGCGCAATGGAGTTCCACTTACTTGGATCAATTACTCCACCGTTTTTTACCGACTGAAACGCAAATTCTAGCTGTCTGTTCCCCCAACCTGGAGGACCAGGAGGCTGGGCTTCGTCCTACCTCTATCCAGTAACCTTCCAGGCATGATTAGATCTTCGGCTTAACAAAAGCCATCTTCCGATCCCTCAAGTTCCTGTCAGTTTTCAGTCTTATACCATAGGAACATCTGGTACAGTACATGGTGCCACATCACCTCAAGTCCTGTAAACATTCTCCAAAAAGATTTTTTCTGATATATCCTATCCTCTTTATTCCGCCCTTAGTCAGTGCCTTTCTCACTCATCCACCCGTTCCACTCACAAACTTCTAAAAACACGCACTGAAGCTTACGGGTGGTCTAATGTCCCGTACCTTGCCAGATTTCTAACAAACCATGAACTCGTTGCAGGAAATCTGCGTCAGACGCTAAACTAAATCAATCATAAACACCCGGGGTATGCCATTGTTTTCTGATGTTGCTTTCCTTTTTCACATCTATTA